TGAGGAGATCGAGGAATACTTCGCGCTCGAGCAAATAGCGCCGGCTGTGGACAGTGAAAGCAGTTCAGTAAGGAATACTTCCAGTAATATGAATGATGCCTCTTGTGTACTCCCACATCATACTGTCTTCAAGAAGGAACCTCAGTCGACAAAACAACGAATCGTCTTCGATGCCTCCTCAAGGAATGGTAGGTCCTTAAACGACATCATTTGGACTGGGCCATTGATGTGCACCCGAAAGACGCCCAATATCAGCGGATTTTATGGCGGCGGGTGGATCAATTTATGTTTACGCATTGTCGACGCTAACATTCAAAACTGCTTCTGCGCCCTTCACGGCCATCAGGGTCATTCAACAATTATCGAAAGATGAGCGAAAATGGTATACCAATAAAGCGAGTATTCTGCTCAATTCTGGCAATTCTGGACTGGGACGACGAGGTTCCTAATGCGCTTACGGAACGGTGGCAAGCATTTTATGACGGCTTGCTTAGGATCGTCGATAAGTATACATCGGTGGATTCTTTATTCTCCTGGTCCCATAGTTTCGGCTTAGCTTCACGCGTTTTGTGACGGGTCTTCAACATTCTATGCATCTGCGACTTATCTACGGCTCCAGCACGAGGATGGAACGTGCTACGTCTCGTTGTTGGCTGCAAAATCCAAGGTTGCTCCTACAAAACCATTGAGCATACCTAGGACGGAGCTGAGTGGTGCCGTGCTGGTTATCAAGTTGGTGAAATGGTTAACCGCGGGTAGGTGGATAAAACACCTCTTAATCAAAACCTGGACGGATGCTACAATTCTTCTACATTGGCTCCACGGGGACGTCAATAGATGGAAGACTCTCGTCGCTAACAGGGTTGCTTTTATTCCGGATCATTCTTCGCCATCGCAATGGGGACATGTAGGGACTAGCAAGAACCCAGCGTAGCGTGCGACAAGAAGAATACTCCGGGTAAGCTAATGGACTTCGACTTGTGGTGGCGCGGCCCGGAGTGGCTTACAAGGTGACTGGCCTTCGACGGAGGTCGGTCAGGTCGATATGAATGATGCTTCCCTAGAGGCGATGGCGGACAAAGTACGCGTTCACCACGCGGTCCCGCTTCCATCATTGGTTGAGAGATTTTCGGGTTTCACCCAGGCCGCACGGGTCGTAGCATACGTTTTGCGGTTCAAATTCAATACTGTCGGGAAAGGAGAGAGGCGCATCGGTCCACTAGGCATTGAAGAGCTTGACCATGCTCTATTCGCTATCGTGCGCATCTTCCAAGGGGAATCTTTCTCATCGGTGCTGACCGCAGTAAAAAATTTTAAACTGCTTCCCTCCAGAAGCAAGCTCTCGAGCTTGTATGGGGGCGATTGGGCCATTCTGGGCGTCGTCATCCAATAATCATTCCATGCTCTCATTATTTTACGCAACTGGTAATACGCTACTCGCATGTCTTGACTCTGCACGGAGGGGCGCAGCTAACTCTGGCACACACTCGCCAACGGTACGAATATGTTCGAGGTGCTTTTGGACCAGGCCAATCTTTAATTACATATCAATCATTATCAAAGTTTTATTGTATATTATTATGTAACCAAAAAATCGGGATTTTTTAAAAGATTATGTATACGAATTATAATATCTTCTGCCATATTATCTGTCTGTCTGTCTGTCCTTCCGTCCGTCTGTCCGTTTTTACCCAAACTAGTCTTCCAGTTTTGAAGCTTTATGAATGAAACTTTGTAGTTAGTCTTCTGTATACTCTCACTAGTAGTCGGAACGGGCCGGATCGGACGACTATACCATATAGCTGCCATAGGAATGATCGGAAAATGTTTTCAAAAAAATGTATAACATTGTCAGTTTTCAACAGAATTTGATTAAATTTGAGATATAGCCATTTCATATTATTCTACAATGTTGTGTAAAATTTTATGAAAATCGGATTCCTATATCATTTAGCTCCCATAGGAACAATCGCTAGATAAAGAGGAAAAATGAAAGTATGTGAATGTAAAACTGTAAATATAATATGAGTAGGGGAATGAAATGAAAGCAGGCATTACATCATTGTTTTTTAACATAAATATATATATTACTAGCTGTACCCTGCCAGGTTTCTATGTGGCATATTGTGGTTGCACGCATAAAAAATAAGTCAAACAAAAATAAATAATTTTCAAATTCATTTAATTCTGTAATACTTGTGGGTATGCAATATTCTTCGTTTCTTCATTCTCCGCGTAAATATAAAGACTATCTGGTTTTCCTACACGGGAACACGCAACATATAATTATCCGTGTGAAAAACAATCTGCATCCAAATCTAGAACACACAACTCCATAGATTGACCTTGAGCTTTATTAATGGTCATTGCGAACGCCAAACGAATGGGAAACTGCAATCTCTTGAACTGCTTCTACTACGTTGTTCATCAATTCCTTGACTGCGAGTCGCGTACCGTTGCAGAGTTTCGGCTGATTTATATTCCGGAGCATGATATTCGGCACACCTATTTTTAATTTCAATATGTGTGGTGGCATTCCAGGCAGATCAAGTGAGTTTAGAAATTGCGTAGGGTAATTAACTGCTTCCTCTGCCTCCACAACGGGGTCTATCGACCTATATGTTATATGAGTTATTTCGTCATTTTCTATGCTGGATTGAATTACATGATTGAGCTGGTAGACATCTTTGTTCTTGGCAGCAAGAATCGCTCGTCCACTGAGCCAATCGTGATTCCAATAATTTATTCGGATATCGGGAAACACTTTTTGGATAAGTCCTTCCTTCGATGTAACTAAATTACAGAAATTCTCGGGCAATACTATTTTTCTCGACGTTTCATTGACTGGCAGCTTTCCGTTCCCAATGTCCAGTAGCTGTCGTGAGAATACGTCGGCTGAGTCATCGTTCTGTAACTGGACACGCATATTCGTCTTCAACTGTAATGTACGTACATGTTGCCACAATATAGAATATTTCAGGCAAGCATTGATCTCGTGAGCTGGTGTCGATCGGGAAATCACAGGCAACGTTTGCCTGAAATCCCCTGCGAGCAATATTAACGCATTCCCAAATGGTTGGACAGCTCCACGCAAATCCCGCAATGATCAATCGAGAGCCTCCAGCGATTTTTTGTGTGCCATCGTGCATTCATCCCAAACAATGAGTTTACATCTTTGCAATACTTTTCCCATGCCAGATGCTCTGGAAATGTTGCACGTAGGATTCTCGACGATTTGCATGTTCAATGGCAATTTCAGCGCTGAATGAGCAGTCCTCCCACCAGGTAACAATGTCGCAGCGATTCCAGATGAAGCAAGAGCTAAACCTATGTCCTTGTTAGCTCGAACCGTAGCCAGAAGCAATGTAATGAGGAATGTTTTCCCCGTTCCTCCTGGAGCATCCAAGCTTCTGCTACCCTTGCCCTGTCGCGTTCATTATTTTGAGAGTGAATCAAATCGGTTGCTTCAGAACGCGACTGCCTAACTCTCAATTGTTTTCTCTTAAGCCTATCTGCTCGTCTTTCTGCTGATTTCGCGTTGTGCATCTGCATTGCTCTTAGCCGCTCAGTCTCTCGGATGGAGGCCCGCTCTTCGTCAGTCATATTCGTAATCTTACGTCTTTTTGCTTCTGTATTGCGAGTACGACGACCCAAACTCGACTTCTTGGGTGGCATGACTTCGTTTCTTACTGAACCTGAACAAAAAAATAAAATTTTAACCTCCAATTTCTTCTTTCAATATGTTTTGAATGTTTGACAGGAAATGCTTTGATTCAGCTGGCTGCCTGTAGAGGGCGCAGCAGTAGGGGCACGGGGAAACGCGAAAAAAACTGATAAATTCGCAAACGCAGATAAGCTATCAACATCAAAAGTAGACAATAACCGAGCTGGAACCTCAACGCATGTTGCGTCAAAAGTTGGGCTTAAAGGGTTCAGAACTTTTCAAGTCTATAAAGGAAGTAGACACTAACAGAGCAATTTATATATATATTGATTAATATTGTATTGATTCCTAGTCCTCGAAGTTTTATCTGCAAGGGTATATAAACTTCGGCGTGCCGAAGTTAGCTTCGTTTCTTTTTTAAGCTTGGTAATGATCGATTTCCGTTTTGATTCCATAATTAAGTTACAAACTGCAAGGGTATACAAACTTTGGCATGTCGAAGTAAACACGTGACCGTTGACTGTTCTAAATTCTTAAGATGGTTTTGGCCAATTAACTGATTATATTCTCCGAATTATTGAGAAAATGTTCTATGTGTAACATTAAAAAAGTTTCAATTTGACAGCACAATTCCCATCTGAAAAAATATTAAATTGGCAAAATGGTCCAAAAAGGGTTATTGAATAAATATGTTATAGAAAACGAGAAAAAATAAGATGAACCGCTTAACCGATGACCATTTTATTTTTAATGGGCGTATGATAACTTGGTATTATTTAAAAAGTTACTGCATTTTTAACTACTGAGTCTTCGGGGCAGCTTAATTACAGGAGTAGCGCACAGGTTTCTACTTAACACATCTATTTTGACATCTTAGACTATTTCTGCTCAGTTAACTTATGTCTTTTGTTGAGCCACTGGGTTCCTCTAGCTAGGCTCCGTAAAAACCATCTGAAAATTTATTAAGAACAATAATATTTATAATATAATCTTATAACTCAATGTTTCTTATCATGGTATTATTAAATAATTTTTGTATATTTTTTTAAATAAATTTAAATGTATCTTACAGAATGCTAAGCCCGGTGTGCCAGATGTTGTTTTTTTCTGCAACTTATGATAAAGAAGTAATGGACTTCGCCCGTCTCATAGTAAGCGAACCAACTATAATAAGGTATTAATTATTTCTACATTAAAACAATTATTCAAAATTAAACTAAATAATTTCAGGAAATCTATAATTGATTGATTCTCTTACGTTTATACCTTTACAAAGAGTATTCTAATTATTGTTAGAATTATTCACATTTTTTTTTATTACCTATACTACCAACCTTTAAGAAGCAGAAATACCGACAAAAACTGTAGAAATCGGAAATTATGGGTCCTGTTGTCGGAATACTTGAGCTTTTCGCTGGATAAAAGTAATGCACTGTTTCTTCTAAGCTCCATGAGTGGACCGTGGATGGCTATAATCAGCAAAGTATATTTAGAATTGGTGTGGACCAAGCACGTAACCCGAGTGTCTCACCCCTTGAATGTCAGAAGGTCGTCAGTAATCTGCTGAGATAATGCTTCAGTCATTTGTATTCAGCAGCTTCCTGGATATCACTTCTGCGGTCTTACCGTCTGACCACCACTTCCTATAGCCAAGAAGGGACTAGTTTGATTGCTGTACACGTTAAGATCACCCTTTCAAATATTTAGGTTTTTGGTTCCAGTGCTAAAGATTGCACCGAGGACCTTCTCGATGCTTTTGCTTCTAAACTCTCAACGCTGCCTATAGTCACCTACAGCATAAAATAGTCCTTAATGTTAGGACTTGATTTAGTGACACTACGCAGGTTCCACAGCCCGCTTTATGACAGCGTCACGAGGCCTCGATTACATTGACCCTACTCTCCATCCATTATTATGGTTCATCGCCTAGTCGTCTTGCTAACTCGCTTGGGACTTCGCACGACTCTTTTTGGACACTTTGCCCGCCTTTCTGAAGGTTTGGTCTGGAAGCTTATAGCTTCGCTGAATCATTTTGCACTTCCATGTTACATCTAATTAGAGCCAGTACTCGGAGCCTTTCCCTTTTATTACAAAATTGCAACGAGACGGCAAATAATACTTTTGGAAAAATCCTTTTTTTGTATTTTGTTCTAATTTATAGGACTAACAGAAAGTTTTTAGATCTTAATCTATGTTACGTTAATTTATGTTATTAAAAATGGATGGGAAATTATTCCGCTGTTGACGGAAATGATAGCATAGCCGGTTGAGTTGTCAGGTTTGCGTGATTTGATAATTTGGTTTCATATTTAATTTTCCTAGAAATAATTTATTCTTTTACGGGATATATCCAGGTCTCTCTGAATGTTTGCGTTGCGGATGTACCAGGGGGCTCCGATTATTTTTCGTGGGGCTTTGATTGTACTCTTTGAAATGTATGCCAAGTTAAATGCCTAAATGTATGCCAAGTTATGTGAATTCGTCTGCTTCTGGAAGATGCTTGTTATTAAGCGGCAGTGCACTATGTGGAATTTGACCCGTTTTCGTGGCCAAACTCATTTTTCGCGAGTATCCAAATTTCCGTATTTTCAATGATACCATGTTAAGAAATGATCAAACTTCTATGTTACATGCCTAAAATGTTAACTTAACAGTTCAGTGTTAAAATAACAACTGTTAAAGTCAGCTGTTGCAAGCGAACACCACGTGCTATCTTAAAGGTTGACTTTGACGGTGCACTTTCAAATTGGCATATCTCTGACAAAAAATCGTTAAATAATCGAACTCAAAATAAATATTAATTCATTCGGTTAGTACTATGTGTGGATACTAATATGTGGCGTGTTTCGTTCGTATTTTTCTTACAATTTGTATGTTTAGTAAATGGTGTCCCCTTGTTACTTTTGGAAAGAAAGTTGAACTTTCCAAAGGGTTTTAAAAAAAGGTTCAAATTGTATCAGTGAGTGTCCATCTATAATATAATTCAAAATATGTATTCTCATTGTGCGTTTTTTTTTCCCCTAATTAAAATTTTTTAAAAGCAACATCCTGAGCAACAATGCTGAACTGCTAGAAGTGTGGCGTAAGCAAGGGAGCTTCAATTCGTACGAAAATATATTTAATAACAAACAAACTCAGCAGAATATACGGTTTTGTAAACCGTTAAAACTGATACCGACGTAAGGGAAGTCGACAATACATATTTTTTTTATAATAATAATGAAATTGAACACAACGATGAAGTTGAAAATGAGTACATAGAATAATCAAAAAAAAATTAATTTTTTCTTGAATAAATTCAATTTTAAAATAGGGCAACAACATTTGAAATAGGACATTCATCCTGTGTTCCAAAATTGGGGTCTCTAACTTTAATTTAATTTAATTTCTAATTGCTTTAAGGGGGTAGACCACCCAGAACGTAGACCAGCCTGAAAATTTGAGGGTTTTAAAAAATTTTATTTTGACAAAGTTATTAAAAATACAACCTTTTATTTATTAGTACATCAAAGTACATATGTTAAAATAAAAAATACTTATTGAAAGAGAAAAAAAAAATTTTTATTATACGAAATTTTTCTTTTAAAAATGTATACCTACGTCATTCAATAGAGGACGTTATAGAAAAGATGTGTTAAAAATTTTAAGATAGATTTGGTCCAACAGTTTTTGAGAAATCATGTACACCGCTTTAAAAAACATATTTTTTAGTAAAACGCACAAGAAGATAAAGTACTCTAAGGTATACCAGAAGCGCTCACTTATAATGACTGTTGAATCCCTAGGTAATGAGATATTTTTATAAAATGATCGTAAGAATATCGGCCTCAAAATTAAGTAAAAAAAATCTATTTGTTTTTTTAAATGTCAGGGTGGGTACCCTCTTAAATATTTCTTTTTTTTTCGATTTCTGTGGGCGGAGGGGGGCGTTGACTTTTCTAAAATACCTTCCTAATTTTTATCACGAAAACGGGTCAAGTTCCACATAGGGCAGTGGTGGGCATTTCGACAAGTTTAATGTAAATGTAATGTGCTTACACTTTTGCCGTTAACTTTGATCCGCCAGTCTGCTAGCCATTTTTCTACAGCTACCAGGTGCTCTTTTAAATGTGCTGTTGTGTGTTTAGGGATTTCGAGCGGCTAATAATGGCAGTGTCGTCAGCGGAGGTTGAGATGAGGGTTTGACGGCTTGTCGAAATGTCTGCCGTGTAAAGAATGTACAAGATTGGTCCAAGCATACTTTTTTGGGGTACTCCTGCTGCATGGTTCTTTTTGGTAGAGAGGGCCGTCGACAACTTTCGAGATGCATTAGTCTTTTGCTTTTAGTCTTTGCTTTGTAGCTGGGGACCGATGAGTCTGCCAGTTTTCAAGTAGGAGAGACTCGATCTGGGAACTTAAGCGTTCAATTCTTAGAGGGTTTGTTGCCGAGGGTTTAGGCTTAGAATGTTTGGCGGAATAGGACAATAGATCCGAGAGGTGCTTATCTTATCTTATCAATGTCAGATTCGGAGGAAATTTCAGAATCAAGTTCGATGCGTGCACTTACATATATTTTGTATTTCAGCCAGTTTGTTTTGTTTGATGTTAGATGTTGAGGGCGTCCCAGAGGCAGCGGCTGGTCACATATACAGGGAAGAACTGGAGACTGGTCCAATGTTAGCTCTTCTAAAGTTTTTACTTTTATCAGCCTATGCGAAACTCTTCTAATTACGGCAAAATCGATAATGTCTGGTTGTTCATTTGGATCTGCACTCTAGTATGTGGGCCTATCTGGTGAGACAAGTTAGGTTTATACGTAGAGATTTGGGCTGCAGGTAGTTTGTAGCGAATGTCTGCAAATGATGATTCTTTAAGCGTTGTTTTTGTAAGTATACCGGTAGCTCCGTGTGATTTACCGTCCGGGTGGTTGGTCACGTAGAACATATAGCCGATGATATGGAAGTAGTTTTTATTCCTTAGATGGGTTTCAGAGAGTAGCATGATGTCGATATTATGGCTGTTTAGGCTGCAAAAGTTCGTTTTTGTGCCGGGAAACGCCGAATGCGTTCCAGAAGCATATTCTTAAAGAGTCTATTTATACAGACTTTTGTTTGATCAGCAGTTCCATTCTGGTTTTGGTTTCGCAGTAGTTCTTGACGGGAACTTTGGATCGACATCATGATGTTTGTAAGAATAGCTAATGTAAATTCAAAACCGCTTAGAAGAGTTTGGTTTTGCTGTGTAGAAGTTTGAGTTGTTTGGCTGTTTTGTCTTAAGAGCGGAAAATTATTCAGCTTTGGTATAGATGGCTGTGGCTGTGGACGCAGTGCTGCCGGCTAAGCGGTAGATGTTTGTGAGATTCCAGGGTAGCGAAGAGCGTTGGCAAAGGAGACACCAGGTTGTTGATGGGGTGCATCCCCCTGATGCTAAGATTTGGATATTAAGAAACGTTAAGGATGTTTTTTAGTAATTATACTCGCTTTCGACCCAGGTTTGGCGGATAATATACAGATTTATCAGGAAATTTTGGTAACATTTCATAATACGAGCTCGTCCATTTTGATTGACAATATTCATCCAACGTGCTTTGTACTTTTTAATAATTCTGGATGAAACCTCGGATTTCTCAAAATAAAAACACAATTATAATCTGTTGTATATATAAATTCTTGTAGTTTTAATTGAAATAACATATTTTTATACTGCCAGAAAATTGATCGGGAAAGTGAAAAGAAACCAATTTTGGGAGGGATTTGCGCAAACGACTGGCGAAATTTCATAACCTACAGACTTAACCATAACCTGGCAATGAATAAGTTCTTGCTCTCTTGCAAATTGATCGGGAAAGTAAAAAGAAAGAAACCAATTTTGGGAGGGATTTGCCCAAACGACTGGCGAAATTTCATAACCTACAGACTTAACCATAACCTGGCAATGAATAAGTTCTTGCTCTCTTGCAAATTGATCGGGAAAGTGAAAAGAAACCAATTTTGGGAGGGATTTGCCCAAACGACTGGCGAAATTTCATAACCTACAGACTTAACCAGAACCTGGCAATGAATAAGTTCTTGCTCTCTTGCAAAAAGGTGACAAGATTAAAGTTGATAATTTTTAAATGTTTTCGTAAACTACAAACCAAACGTGGCATTCTTCGAAAAGCTAATTGAAGAAAGGCAAGTTAAAAACACAATTTGCCGCCAGAAATGCATTATACGTTGATGCAGCTTCAAGGACTTTTTTGGCTGGACAGATATATTGTGTAAGTCAGACCCAATATCAAGAGTCACATCGAAATTTTGATGATACGGATCTTCGGGCTGCGTCAGAGGCGCCACCCTTGCTAAACGGACTCTCGCAGGATCAGAGACGAAACAAAGATCGAGCGAGCAACCATTATCCAAATAGTACCCAAGAAATGACAGCTTAAAGAAAAATTAATGTCCGTTTACTTCTAACGTTAAAGTTTTTTTAATCAATAAAATTTTTTTAGGAAATCTTAACCTTTTTTTCACTTTGGGAAACATTATTTATATGTATTTAAAAAATTGTACTGTCAAAAAATGTATTTCTTAAAACTTTATAGTATCCTTTGCCCCAAAACTGATTCACGAGAACTTTTCAGTGTTTTACGAGATGTGCGTCGGATATTTATTATATAACTTGGGCGAGCTGATTGAACGCTCTTTGGACTGAGAAAGAGGGGGAGAGACAGGTCATTTCGAGAATAGACCCCCTTTTGGTGCGAACAACTGCTAAATCTGCCCCCTTTAAACTAAATATTAAAAAAAAAAACGTTTGCCCACCTCTTAAAACTAAATATTAATATTAAATGCGATAAAGTGTTTTAGGCTCAAAAATCTGCAATCTCTAATTAGTGTTGCAGAAAGTACCTGCTAAGAAAAAAACCAAAATATCACCAAACAATCCTGACGCCTATCTAGGACCTAGCATCTTAAAACAGGCATCGGCACGCCGACCGCTCGTCAAGCCAAAGAGCTGACCCTAGTAAAAACAGCACATTTCACCATACCAAAAACCAATAGGAACCAGGCACCGCCCCTAAAAACGTTTAAGCTGAATCTGCATGTTTTTATATATATTAGGGTGATCCAAAAATCACCCAAAATTTATACCGACCTATTTGTTACTCAATAACGGTATTACTACTCTTCCCTTAGAAGTATGATCGTCCTCTGGAACTTGTCAACGACTTGTTGAATCTGCCGTGCGTCTCGTCTACTTCTCAAGATTAGACTGAGTAGGATACAGCAGCTGATTAAGATGCTGACTGCCACGCTGACCGTAAACGAGATGTTGGTAATTCCAGCCAATTTCACTTCCTCCTTAAGCCCTTGAATAATCTCCAAGTTTTGGTTGTTAATTCGTTGGAGAATGTTGGAATGCTTACCATAGGATCGTGGCCAATCAACAACTAACAACTAGGATGCCGCCATGCCCGGCGCTTTCCTAATGGCTTCACGTTGGTTTAGGTATTTCGTACAATTTATGAAAGCCACCCGCTCGACGTAATCAAATGTGAGCCCTTCGTAGGTTTCTCGTGGCCGTCGACAATGCTGACTTTGGCTGGGCACTCGTTAATTATTATAACTCCGTCGACTACCAGTGTGATGGGGTTCAAATGGCTAGCCTGCGTTTCGTATCTTGGAGTAGTCCCCGCATGTAGACCTCGAGCACAAGTATCGTGGGCCGCCAGTTTGCAGAACGATGTTGTTGGTACGCAATTTGTGACTGCTAGGACGTCGTTGTTGCATTTGGCTACAGTTTTCTCCTTTAGTTGCAGAATGGTGCGAAATTGTAACCCTATTAGATTTTAATATTAGAATATGCGATTAGCACATGGATAATACTATCGGTCTGAAATATCCTAGTGGTAGACGCCTCTAATAGGTTAATAATGGAAATTTCTGTGGGGTGATCAATCAATATATTGTATACAGACTTCAAATCAGTGTGATAAAAATAGCTGGGTTCATTATGATAGCGTTGGCTTATGTGACTGTGAGCATAAAATTTGTAATTTCAGCTAATAATATTATATTTCTGGCCAGAAGGGCCTCGTATAAGTGTGGAGTGTCAACCATATTATTTTGATTTGCATTTATATGCGTAACTGTCTCTATTAATTCATTAATGTTTGTATTAATGATAGCATGTTTGTTATTAGATTCTTTTAAGCGTGACTAGGAAATTTTTAACATTTCGAAGTCGGAGTCATCCAGGGTGCTTGCTACTATCTTAAGTGCAGTGTCCAAGAAGTCTAGGCTCCTGACAATCCTACGGTGTGCCTTTAACACTGACAAATAAACTTCTTAGATGGTCGGGATCGATGTATTACAATTTGCGCATGTGTGACTATGGGAACAAACTGGACAACCTAGTGGTCTCTTCTATAATTGCTGAGAATTCTGACAAATTACTTGAGTTTCGAAGCAAGTTTATATTTTCCCACACTAGTGCAACCGCGTCCGTGATTGGGATATATTGGGCATGATAGTAGTCCGTCACTCTAGCGCTAACTACGGCTAACGTTATTAATATAATTCCCGCGATCCTGTAAGAAGGCGAGAGATTAAATCTACTGTGCATAAAATGGTGTAAATGTAGGGTTCATGAAAGAAGAATATGAATTGATATGGACTTACCTAAGGTTGTCCTTATGGACCACCCTCCCTCGAATAAGGACAGACGTTCGTATGTCAGCTTGTATACGCCCTTATGTGTAAAGCGCGGATGGTTTATTCCCTAACCTTTTGTTATTTTTGTTTGTTATTTTTGAGGTAATAATATTATATTTTGTTTTGCTTTTATAATCTTAACTGTCTCTATTAATTTATTAATTTTATTTGCGTTTGTGTATCAATGATAGTGACTAGTGACTCGGAAATTTTTAACATTTCGAAGTTGGAGCCATCTAGGATGCCTGCTACTACCTTAAGTACAGTGCCCAAGAAGTCTTGGCTCCTGGCAATCCGAATCCCAATTATTCTAAATAAGAATTTTACTTTCTCTAATTAATTTGTTGTCACCGAATTTTTGGTCATTGTGCAAGTTTGATACGACTACCTTCTAATAATGGGGCAGCAATACCAGATGATGGAACGCTATTAGTGTTCTCGGCTGAATAGTTGCCAGAATCAACGAAATTAATGAATGAATTTTCCCAGAGTAGGAAGGATCGATTAAATGACTCTCATTCCATCATCAACAACACAGGCTTGCTCCCATTGAAACCCGCGATTGAATGCATCGCGCATTGAACCATTTGGTGCTGGCATTCCAAATCTCGGAAGCGGACTACCGCACGTGAGCACCATCATGTCTTTAATCAGAATTAACGCTTTGTTGAGCAATTTATCATTAATTTCAAGATCGAAACAAGAAAGGAAGCTAACTTCGGCACGCCAAAGTAAATGTACCCTTGCAGATAGAACTTCGAACGCTAGGAATCCATACAATATAAATTATATATATTTATGTTAAAACACAATGAAGTAATGCCTGCTTTCATTTCATTCACCTATACATATTTTCCCTTCTCATATGACGATCGTTTGTATAGCACCTATATGATATAGTCGTCCGATTTTCATAAAATTTGGCACCAAATTTAAAACTAATATAAATTAAACTAATATAAATATCTCAAATTTGATGAAAATCTGTTGAAAACTGAAAAAAGTTATAATTTTTAATTGTATTAATCGAGTCCTTCCTATGGGATCTATATGATATAGAAGTCCGATTTTTATAAAATGTTACACAAAATTTTAGAATAATATGAAATGGCTACATCTCAAATTGATTAAATTCTGTTGAAAACTGAAAATGCTATTTTTTTTTTTAATTTTCCGATCATTCCTATCGCAGCTATATGATATAGTCGTCCGATCCGGCCCGTTCCGACATACATATATACGAGTGAGAGTATATAGACGACTAACTGCAAAGTTTCATTCAGATAGCTTTAAAACTGAGAGATAAGTTTGAGTAGAAACGGACAGACGGACAGACGGACTAGATCGACTCGGCTTTTGATCTTGATCAAGAATATATTTACTTTATATGGTCGGACTTGCCTCCTTCACTGCGTTGCAAACTTCTGACTGAAATTATATTACCCTGCAAGGGTATAATTAGAAGAAGTAGTACAAACTCTGTGGAAAATGTCATCAGCCATCTCTTGCTTGTATTTGTCCCACAACTCAACTGGGTTCGACAGATGATTTGATTTCGCAAACAATGTTCGAATTTGATTTGTAGAAACAGTTGTATTGAAAAACGGGCCCCATATGTTCACCGAACGCAAACATAGATAGAAGCATTGATCTTGGCGTGAATGAACTGTGAATATTCGTTTAAGGGCATCAGTCGAAAAGACATCAGCGAAGCCAGCAAGAGCTTCACATTTCTTCAGGCAGCCTTCCATATATAGCATCGGGACATTTCAAAATATAGTACGATTTTTGCATGCAGAAAAGAAATTTGTCAGCGTTGCCGCTGGTGGCCGTTATGCTATTTCTTCAATTGAACCGATAAATGTGCAACAGTCGGGTAACGTTCATGAATCAGAAATGAAAAGAGCCG